AGCTAACGTTTTCATACTGTGTTTTATGAGAGACAGCTGATGAAAAACCGCTGTTAGAGGAGAAGTTAATTAAAAACCAGAAGATTTAGTGAGGAAAGATCAGTCAGGATCAGAGCTGGAGCTGCTGTTCTTCAGTCTGTTTCCAGCTCAGCTTCTCCATGTCGGTATTTAGCTATAAAGATGCTACGAGTCAGAGCCCAACATGCTGAAAATGTCTTTTTATGAATGTGAAAGAAACATATACGAAACATATCGTATGTATTTTCTATTATACTTTTGGATAATTTCTCTTTTATCCTTGGCTTTAGCCTGTGAACCAGGACGTCTCAGAAGTCATTGAGTTCTCCCAGTGTGACCAGCAGACTGAAGCCTGTGGCCAGTGTTCCCAGTATAATAAATAAATGTTTTATTCTTTCACTTTTTGTGTATTTTTAAATATCTCAATCTGAAGTATTAGTATATAAATACAGCTTATGTAATGAATTAAAAATAATTTACTCATTTACTCTGTTAGAATTATTGTCACTCTTTGCTGTCAATAGCAGAGTTGACATACTGTAATAAATATTTATTCTGTGGAAAAAAGTAAGAAAAATATGTAGTTTAATGTTTGACAATGACTGATTTATAAATCAAGTCATTTCTCAATAATGTATAAAAAATAAATACAAGAAAATAATTTGTTGTCTTGAAACGTTAAATGTACATTAAATTATGGAATTATGTAAATATATTATTTAATAAAACACTGTAAAAGTGTCTGTTCATCAATGTTAATATAAAAATAAGAATAATTTCTACCAAATAAAACATTGTGCTCTTTATTCAGAAATGCACCGAAACAATTAAATAATCACATCAAAAGTTAGAAACTCTCTTTAGTCATTTCTCTGATTACCAAATATATTAATGTGTGAGAAAATGTGTCAATGACAGGAATTAATTTAAAATACTTTGTAGAACGGCACTTTGTGAAGTTCGGTCCATTTACCTGTATTAGCTTACTGGCAGAGATGCCACATTCAATATGGCGGACGCTGAGACGTATCGCAGCAATGGGCCGACGCGCTCCATGAGGCGTCTAAGTGTTCATGTCTGTGGTTCTACCTTTGTCTAGAGAGGAGCGAGAGACTTTTGGTGGTGCTTCCACAGGTACGCCACCAGGGGGCAGAATCACTGGCTGAGGGACTATCTGCTTTATCCAGCTCACCACCCTGCAGGACAGAAGAAGATAGAACAGCTGTGTGCGACTCCATCACCTGCTGCTGCAGACAGAGGTCAGGGGTCAGGAGACCCATCGCTTCTGATTGGGTCAGTTGCATCAGCCAGGTGTTGGATTTATGAGGTATGACAGATAGTCAGAACACCGGCTCTGACTGTGGTGACCTGTACTCACTTTGGATGGAACTGAGGAGCCAAACTCTCCACTTCCGACACTTCCTCCTCCGACACCACCTCCACCACCGGGATGTGAGGAAGCGGGTCATAATCTGGATTATAAAACATCCAGTCATCTGGAGGAACGGCATCATTTCTGCCTGACTGAACAGGAAGAGGCGGGGTTTAGAAAGCCTACCTGGCATTGTCGCTGCCTCAAACACCTGTAACAACAACAAGCATTACAAAATAAGTTTAAATTGTTTTGATTTATTTCAGCAAGCTAAAAAAAATATTTTAAGCAAATTTTTAATATGAAGCTGAATATTTAGCTAGCAAGCCAGATGTATTGTTGTAATTAGCTCTGAGCTAAATATTTAGCTAACATGCAAATTCACGTGCTCATAACAGGAAGAGGACTATCAAAATAAAAGCTGTCTTCCGAACCTATTTATAAACTCCTTTCGAATCGCTTCATGTCTCTATCGTCGTTTTTTTTTTTTTCTCTTTTTTGAACAACATTTCAGTTTAAAGCAGAGGAAGAGCCGTTTTATAGGCAACAGAGACGTTCAGCAGCAGGAGTTATCAAAATCCAGCTTTTATTTTCATAATCCACTTATATAAATGTTTAGCTCCGTAGCTAGCTACGGAGCTAAACATTTAGTTAGAGAGCTAAATAGGTAGCTTGCTAACTAAATATTTTATTCCAAGCTATCTAAATATTTAACCAAAAACAAAATATTTATTGGAGCTAAATATTTAGCTGGTTTAACTTTTAGCTTGGTGAAAATTTGGCTTTGAAAAATGAACTGCCGTTTTTTTTTTCTTATCTTATGTAAGTTTCCAGAACTTTTTTCTCTTAATTAGCTTAAATAATTGTTCAATTTTGAATTGATAACTTTAAAAATGGCATCGTATTATATAGATTTAAATTTACTCATATTTATTAATGATTGTATATTTTTATTGTTTTGAACCTAATTTATTATTTATGTTGAAAAGAAAAACATCCGGGATGACAAAATGAGCCAAAAACTAGTTTTCTTGACACCAGAATATTAAGATATTGAGATAAAATACATAAAATAACAAAACTAATAGAGGAAAATCAAACACATCTTTATGCCTTTGAGAAGTCAAACTGATCTTGATGTAAATGTTTGATGGTACCGAACCAGTCTGGGTCCGGACCCGGCTGGGGGCGGAGCCTCACCTCGGTGTGCTCCTCGGCGGCATTCTGGGTCTCAGCCGCTTCTCGGTACTTCTCATCCGGCTGAGGCAGAACCTTGGTCAGACCCTGAGCGACCCAGCCCATCACGCCGTTCCTGTCAGAGACACAGCCGTGAATTTAACCTCTCACTCATCCTGTTAACGTTAAACCATCAGGAGTTTATTGAACTTTAAATTATCAGTAGTTTATACCGATCTCCATCGTCTCCTGGCTGGACAGCAGAGGAAAACAGAAAGCAAATCGTGATAAAGTTAAAATATCGGCTGAAATGAATCATGTCTAACGAGTTTATACAGACAGAGCTGATTCCAGCTTTTAGAAATGTAAATCAGTTTGGATCCTCTGATCGGGTCAGAACTTCTCCATGACCAGGTGACAGAGACTCCTGGCTGTTTTACCAGCGAAGGCACCAGGAGAGGTTCTGGTTCTGGTACTGACCCTGCAGTCTGCATTGGACCCCTTGAGCAGAGGCGACCCCGGCGGCTGCGGCAGCGCGCTGACGAAGCCGTTGGACAGCCAGCCCATCACTCCCCCGTTGTTCTGGCTGCAGAGGAAGTTCCTCACAGGTCAGAGGTCAAACCTCTGAGGTGCATGAAGTTCATGCCATGCAGGAATACTTTACCCGTCCTCTGAGGCTTCCTCAGGGCTCTTCGCTGAAGCATTCTTGGCTGCAAAGTGTCAAATGATGATAAACATGCGGCTCTCTCTACCAATCAGGGAACAGCTTACATCAGCAGGTGGAGCGTCCTCACCTTCATTGTTCTTCACCGACTCCTCCAGGAGCAGAGAGAGCGAGAGAGACACAGACTGGTGTGACTTCACTCATCCTCAGTCCAGCACTAACTAACTAACTAACTAACAAACACTACGCCTCCAGGAGGTCTCTGCCCTTTTCTCCTGCAGGTGTTTTTCATTCTCCCTCCTCAGAAAAACATTTGGTTTGGTTTGAATGTCTTGGTTGGTTTTTGTTTGGGTTGTTATGGCTTTTGCTTATTTTTGGTTTTTATAGGTTTTGCATTAATTTAATTTGCTTTTTCATTTCAGGTATTCCCTTTTCAGGTTTTATTTCTTTAGTATAAATTAATAAAATCATTTTTCTTGAACATTTTGAAACCATTATTAGTTTGTGTTGTTTCATTTCTGCTTCAGAAATTGTTTGCTGTGAAATTTGTTGGACAGGAATCTAAAGGATCCGTCCTTCTGCCTGAGGCGATCTACTTCCTGTACGAACACCAGCGTAGCGTAGCATCGCTATCAAACGGCGCGGACATGAGGACAGAAAACGAGAAAAGTTTAAAAAGAGACCTTCAGGAATCCTGAGAAACATCCAAATCATTCCAGAACCCAGAACTGTTTCTGCAGACTGGTTCTGCTGGAGATCCAGTAGAACCAGTCCAGGAACAGACTGGTTCTGCTGGAGCTGGAAAAACAGCCAGGCCTGGTTTAAAACTTTTGCACAGTGAGTGTTTTCTTACAGCAGCAGCCGGAGCTTCAGCAGGCTGAGGAACGACCTTCACCACCCAGGAAAACATCCTGCAGGGAGACACACCAGTCAGCAGAGATACTGGTTCTACTGGTTCTAGTGGTTCTAGTGTGAATTAATGATTGAATGAAAGGTAGAGATCAAAACAGTAAATATCTACGCAGCTTGTTAAAGCAACATTTAAAATGGAAATTATGATAAATATGGTGACTTAATGTCTTTATTAACCTGAATTCTTTCATATTTATGCAAACATTTTTATTATTTTACATTTTAATATTTCCTTGACCTATTGGCAATTAAATGCCACCTTAGATCAATATTGACCCAATGCCACCAAACACCATGATCACAAACTGAACACAAAGTGATCTTTGCAGTGTCCTAGTTAAAGCACACCCTTCACCTGTGTAGCAGAGCTCTGAAGGTTTGAATGAAGAACGTAGTTTTTATGTTTAGTGAAACATCCAGAAAAATGACGCGACAATTTTCATATTTTTAACTTGTGGGGCAGAAACGTCAGAGCGGCCGGCAGGCGGCGCCAAATCTGCACTACCAGGAAATTCCACAGGGGGGAGACAATCCCACTGGTCAACGCAGAGACCGAAGGGCCAGCACAGACCATCAGGTCGGGGTCAGAGGTCAGTGGGTCACTGACCCTCCACATCTCTTATTAACTCAGCAGATCAGCCAGTCCAGAACCAAAGAATCGACAGGAAGTCACTTCCTCCAGTTGTTTGTGATTGGTGACCGGACCAGAACCAGAACTAAACCAGAACCAAACGCTAACTGGATCAGAACCATACCGGATCCCAACCGGACCAACACTAGACCCAAACTGAACCAAACCCGGCCCAAACGGGATCAGAACCAAACCGGTCAAGAACCAAACCTGAACCCAACTGAACCAGATCAAAACACAAACTGGACCATACCCAATCCGGACCAGAACCAGAACAGAACCAAGCTGGACCCAAAGCGGACCAGAAGCAAACCGGACCAGAACCAGGCCTCTCCTCAGCAGCTCTTAGCGACGCTTCATCCCTCAGAGAACTGAATTCTGGGATTGAACTGCGGACGGTTTTTGCTGCAGCGGCCGTCTTACCTGCGACTCTACGGGAGGCTGAGCATGCCGAACGCACAGAGACCCAGAAAGTGGCAAAGCCGGCGCAGATCTGCGGGGATTTCCTCTGTGGCAGCCTGGAGAGAGCTGACAGGATTAACCTGAAGGTCAGGCCTCAATCCCTCAGATTATTAACGTCAGAGGAGCAAGATGGACAAACTACAGTGGCCTGACAAACTACCAGGAACCCATCTGACGCCTTTCTGAATGAAAAACTCCTTCAACTTCTGAGAGCTGAGTGTGCTTCTACAGACAGCTGGAAGGAAACGGGCCCTGAACTGGGATCAACTGGTTAGAGACATGAGAATACAGATTATTGCTGGTCTAGGCTGCAGGAGGAGCACCCATAGAACCCACGCAGGCGAACAGGCAAACTCCATGCAGAAAGCCCCAGACTGGGACTCAAACCCACAACCGCAGCAGAGCTCACGGCGCCCCCAGCAGGTCGATCTGAGGCGATGCACTTTGAAAAAGCAAAAGCGTCAGTAATAATAATAATAAAATTCCTGCGCACCATGTTGGACAATAACAAGATGTTCATGTTTAATTTTCTTTGTTCAAACTGTTGTTTTGAGTTTTGTTCTATAACCAACTGCGAGTCTTTCGTCTTTTTCAGGCTCCAGGCGCTTCGGGTCGGATCACTAAGCAGCAGAGTTTAGAATCAAACAGGCGTTCCCAGGACATACTGTAATCTATTATTCCTTTTTCTGGCTAAATAAATATTTAAAGTTAAGCCATGTGGGAAGTCTGTGACTCTGAACACAAAAAGTGTTTCTGTTTGTGTAACCGGATCCTTTCTGCGTTGTGCTGGTTCTATTGATTGATCAGGCCGTGACACTTTAAAAAGATGAAAAATACAGAAAACAACCGTGTTACAAGCCGCCGCTCCAAGTCCTACACAAAACAAAAAGTAACTTAACAGATCTACTGTATAAGTAAACTGAATGTATTTAGATGAAAAATAAACAGCACACACACAGGACAGCATGACAAAAAGGGAGGGGCTAAGGGGCGCAAACAATTTAAAGACAATACCACAGAAGAAGAAATAAAGAGGGGCTTCCGATCTTAAAGTAACACGGTTAAAACAATAACAGAGTTGTTTCAGTCAGATAAGGAACAAGACAAATAACAAAAAAAAACAAAAAACATTTTGTGTAATTATAACAAAAGAGAAATACAACCAGGTTACATTAGCATCAAAAGCTGCTTGAGTTTTTCTCCTCCTGGTCTGTTGGCAGGATGATCAGATCACCGTCTGTAAAATGTCTCTATTAAAACAAAACAAAACAATGTTGCAGGCGGCTGTATTTAATCCTTTCAGAGGATTCGTGTAGCTAACCTGAGCGCTGAGCCTCCTCTGCTTTACAAGTCTGTAAAGTTATACCAAAATATTAGCAGCAATATTTTGGGTTATTTAGCCTATCAGAGAAAATAAAAAGGAGGTTCATCTTTTGTAGTCATATTTTCACCGTGTTATTCCTGCATTGATTAAAGTCATGGTTACTAACGAAATATTTAGTTTGCAAATTAAATATTTAACTAGAAAGCTAAATATTTTGTGTATTAACTAAATATCTAGTTAGCAAGCTAGCGTGCTAGCTAAATATTTAGCTAGCAACCTAAATATTTATCATGCTAGACGTTTAGCCAGCAAGCTAAATATTTAGTTTGAAATTGTGACATTTCCAAATGAATGAAAATTAACCTGTTTTCTTTTACTATAAAAGGCTGAATAAACCAAATTCTTGCTGCTAATCTGACTGTGTAAGTTTCCAAACGGCGGCCATTTGAAAGGAGGATGAGGAGGAGAGAAAGCGAGAGATGATGACAGAGATGATTAAGGAGGATTCAGGTTGAGCAACAGGTAAGCAACTCTTCAGGTAAATCTGTGGCTCGTTTCCAGGTGAGTCTGAGGATGAAAACATTTTAATCTTCCCTCTGGAACAACCTGAGCAGGAAGACAGTCAGGTCTAGAAACAGTCCAGCGTTCCCATCTCAGCCTGATTGTTTCCATGGGAGCGTTCCTGCTGGAGCGACAGGAGGCGCCAGCAGATCCCATTATCAGCTCAGGATTAGCTGGACCAGGACAGCGCCATGACACACAGCCATGACACGGCCCGGTGCTGGCACAAAGACAGCCACGCAGGCGTCCATGCTGACGGGACGTCTGGATGGGGGCCAGGGATGGACACAGGTCAGAGGTCGTCTCTGGGGTTCAGGCTGGAGCTGAGCTGCTCAGAGCCGAATATGATCAATAACCCAGAGAGCAGCTGCAGATGATCTGTGAAGGCTAATCCTGATTAGCTCTGATACAAAGAGCAGCAGGACGAGGACAAGACAAAGTCACAGAGGACAAAGACGTCCATCCCATCTCACACCTTTACCATGATGTTTGATGCTTTCACAAAACTATCCTAGTTCACTTCTGGACAAAGAGCAGTCACGTCTCTATAATAAAGGTCTGTTTATTTAAATGCACCAGTAGTAATAATGATTCAGAAAATGAATGTTGGAGCTCCAGCATTTCCTGAATCAGATGAAAACATCTTGTTTGGTCCATCTCTTTGTTTTCTCTCAAATCGTTCTGGTTTCCATCTTAAAGCGTCTCAGATCATTTTCTGAATGTTTTCTTATTCCCGCCTGGCTGAGAAACAAGCCTCCGGTCACCAGGTGGCAGCACTGCTCCAAATATTCAACAGGCTGCCGGTTGAAGCCTGTAGAAGAAGAAGCCGACCAACACACCGGAGTACAGAGACATAGAAATAATGGGCTCTTTGCACCTCAGCTTCCGCGTTCGGGGTAAAGCGGCTCGATTGTTTCCGATCCAATACAAA